TGAATAAATATGATATTTCTATTTCTTTTTCATACATCTTTCCCGTAAATTTTATGCCTACTCCTTTGCTCTTATTTTCCCCATATACCAATTTTTTTTTATGTTTTGCACATTTCTTCAGGATCATTTTTTACCTCACCAATTCTTTCAATGCCTTTTTCTGATTCCGGATTAAAGTTACTACACTATTTCGATATATTTTAAATTCATTTCCGTGTCTTTAATTACTAAAAATGGAGCAAAACGTGATTTACAAACGCTCAGATTATAGTCCAGTCACATTAGAGATTTCACCTCGGAATGAGAGATAATAAGCTGTAAACTTGTATAAACCTTTATTTTGGCGCTCTAGAAGTTGTCTCAAAAGTCTCATAAAATCTCGGGTCCGCGTCTTAAGATATTCAAAGTCAAAGGTCACAAAAATCGTTTTTTTTGCAAATATCTCTTCCTATGGTTTTAATGCCATTTGCATTTATTATAAAAATTGTAGAGAATAAAATTCTCTACAACTTTTGTCCCAAACATTTTTTTATATACTCAACCGTTTTTGAGATAGAGGGCGGAGAGCGCTCCGCGCTTACCTATTCACAGCATAATGCAAGGTCAACTGTAAGTCCCAGTAAATAATACGCCGTATAAAGTCTATAAATCATTAAAAAATATATAATTATGAATAATTTGCATTGTTTATTAATTAATACATTATATTTAATAATATTTTTCATTTATCGAATATATATTTGTTCAATATTACTTACCTTTCCGTGTAATCAAAAAATTGTTGAGTGGAATACTTTAAGTATATTTTAATTATATTCTAATATATATGTTAATTATATTTTAAATAGAAAGAGAATAGAGTAAATACATTTTAATTATATCTTTATTTAGAAACACTTTTTCATACATTTATTACAGTTGAAGTTCAAATGTGGGGAGGTTTTTCAAAATCTATTATAATTAGAAGGACTTGAGTCTTAATTTTCTTCTTCTTCTTCTTCATCATCGTCTTCCGGTCGCTCGAAATTTTCCAATTCAATATCATCATTTTCGTTGTCAAAGATATTTGTCTCTAGATCTTCGAGAATTTCGGGGTCAAATGTACTATCTTCATCGAGATCGCTTTGATACGGTGAAGCATTGAGGCACGTTTGCCCATTACACTGGCCACAAGCTAAAGAACATTGCAACCCCGATTTCCTGCATCGGCAGCGTGAACCACAACCATTCTTGCAGTTGTAAAATATTAAAATATATAATATAATTAAAATATACTTAAAGTATTCCACTCAACAATTTTTTGATTGCACGGAAAGGTAAGTAATATTAAACAAATATATATTCGATAAATGAAAAATATTATTAAATATAATGTATTAATTAATAAACAATGCAAATTATTCATAATTATATATTTTTTTATGATTTATATACTTAATATTTATCAGGACTTACGGTTGACCTTGCATTATGCTGTGAATAGGTAAACGCGGCGCGCTCTCCGCCCTCTATCTCAAAAACGGTTGAGGATATAAAAAAATGTTTGGAACAAAAGTTGTAGATAATTTTATTCTCTACACTTTTTATAATAAATGCAAATGGCATTAAAACCATAGGAAGCGAGATATTTGCGAAAAACCGATTTTTGTGACCTTTGACCTTGAATATCTTAAGACGCGGACACGAGATTTTATGAGACTTTTGAGAGAACTTTTAGAACGCCATAATAAAGGTTTATACAAGTTTACAGCTTATTATCTCTCATTCCGAGGTTGACCATCTTTTTTTGGCCTAAGTGATTGGATTATTATACTTAAGTCAAGATTTAAAAAAATATTATAGATCCTGTAATTCAATAAAATGTTTTTGCATACCTGGAAAATATCCTTGTATGTAGGCTAACTGATGCCCTTCCTCATATAAGAGAACTTGCTCTTCATCGTATTCTAAAAGCAAAGAAAATATGACATTTATCCGTTCCTTTACCCTACCATAATTAAATTTTGATGCATACTGACCTTATGGTAAAAAAAGTGAATTACACCTCCCCCGTTAGTTAGCAATCTAAAAATAGACGAGACAAAAAAAAATTAATTGAGAACACTTCTGATGAAATGGTAGAGATAAATTCATTTCCATGTCATACCCAAGCTATAGAAAGGTGTTGAAATTAGTAACTGAGGCTTCCTTTTCAGTTGTTTGTCCAGAGAAACGAGATGGCTTCATTAAAGTAAAAAGGACTATAAATCAAAATATTTTCTGCAGTGGATAAGGGGGGATAGGATGAAAGCCGTCGAGCAGTCAGCTGTCTGTGGTGAATCCTGTGTTGTTTCTCTAGAACAAACTAAGATCTACTCTTGGTCTTTAATTTTGCTAATTAAGATAAAATATTGTTAAAGGTAATTTTTTTCAATTTTGAGTTTTCTTGAGGACTAGTAGAGGGTAGAAGATGTAACACTATCGAAAATTCCCAAATGAACTTTTTTCTTAGAATATCAGAAGGCAAGTTTTGATGACTATTTCAAAACGAAACTCCAACTTTCGTTCTTTTGGGTCCATCCTAGACTGCATATTGTCCAATGTTGACTCTGTTGAGATAACAATATGAGATAACTTCTGAGGTATAAAAAAATTTAGGTTTCTATGTCTTTTTTTTTCATCAAACTTGTATCTCTTAAGTAAGCGTGATTTTAGTAGTGGCTTCTGAATTTAGAACAGTATGTGATATTCCTGTAAAACATGACGGCATCAGCAATGTATTCAACTTTGATATATCAGGATAGAAACCAATCACTGTAACAGATACTCATAAACTATTTATTTAGTCGTCGCGGGTGTAATCTACCAAATGTCACTAAAGCTTGAAATGTATATGATAAATGTCAAGCTTGTGTGGTTCGGGCATTAAATACATGAGTATGTAATGTATTAAATCAATATTGATTCAAATGGTACTTATATTAGATAACAAAATAAATATGCGCCTAATGTGTTCTAATACAGCTTGATTTAGAATCCCTTTCTTACATAGATTTTATTTAATTATCTTATTTCGACAATTCTAAACCAATTACGACAGTTACCAAATACACATAAGTTACTTGCACTGAAAACAGTGTTACTTAATTTTAATAGACATGTAAAAATAGAATCAGCTGCTAAAGAAACGTATCATTAGAAACTAAGATAAAATGGATGAAATACCCCAAAGACCACCAAGAAAAAAAATTCATCTGGCGCTCATTTGTGGACAAATACGACCTATACCCAGCTTTACAGCATTGCAAAGGATGATGCATTTAGTTTGAAAAATCGGGTCGGCACCGAATATAAGTAAATTGTGATAAAATTTAATTGGAGTATAACAGTCAAACGTTTACAAGAAACATTTTTTAACGAATACAATGTAAAAATTGATTATTTTTCGGGCATAGAATTTAAACCAGACCGTCATGCAAGAGATGTAAAGCAAAAAGAACTCTAGAACGACAAAATTAAAGAAGTTCACATGCTTTTACTTCAAAAGCAAATATCAGATTACAGAAACATTGGAACGAAAGCACCACAGAGGATCTCAGAAGAAATTCTCTTATAGCAGCCAAAGAATTACAATAGCATGGAAATGAAAGCAGAAATAGGAAACTTCATTTGTTTTAGTATTGAAGAGGACAATTTAGCAAGACGCACCGAATATGTTATAATTCTATCCTTTTCTGTTGATGACCCTCTCATTCTAAACCTCAAAATTTCCAAAAGAGAATAATAATATTCTAGTTTTTGCGAAGCTCCAATAATATTTTTACTGGAGCCACAGTTTGGGAAAAATATCTCGACTTATGTATGTGGATTAAGGAGGCAAGTATGTGAATCAGCATTTAGATGGAAGAATATTCCACCTAACTTAACCTCACCCAGAAACTACGATTCTCATGCTTATTTTTTGTAAAAAAAATTATTACAATTTTCTTTTGTGTTACCCAATGGCAGACAGTCCTACCGCGGCTCCGAACCTCAAGGAAGTGCCGCCAGCAAATAACTAGAGCTATTCTCACAACTTGTAGGGTTAGTGGCTGTAGGTAGATTAAGAATCATAAGATGCCCTAATCAAGCAGATAGAATCTAAGATGGCCGCCTTCTACATTTGGTCTGCCCGGTTCATAAACAAAACGGTTGTCGCATTTTATTTTAGTTTGTCTATCTGATTCTGTTGTTAGTGTATAATAATTTTTATTTTGTTTTTTATGCCTTAAGTTTTAAAATGTGACATACTATATGTATACTATTGATTGAGTTTATATTTATATATTGATTAAGTTTTAAAATGTGACAATATAAATTAATTGCAATATAAACAACTATTTCACTATTTTTTGAACGTACAAAATGTACATAATATGTATCTAAAGTGGGAAATAAATTTCTATTCTATTCTATTCTATTCTATTCATTTAATAAAATTATGGTGGGGGGAAACGTCAAAGATGTCGCAAAGGGGCATTTTCGCTTTTCGTTCGAAGTGTTTATTTTTGCATTTGTGTTATTTTAAGTTTTTAATATTGGTTTTTCTTCGATTTCTGCTTTGTTTGGACTTTTACTTGTTTCATCAAAATATAAGATGAGCGATTATTACATTTTAACGATGAAGAGAGCCCTTTGTGAGGTTTCGCGATCTGATAGGCTAGAGCGTTAATGTGGTAACCGTTTAGTTTATAAACAGTGTGGACTGCCAACCTACCAATCACAGATAGATTTTTGGCAGGCCAGTACAGTTATTAATTCCAAAAGCAGCGTAGGCGAGTTTACTGATTATTATAAGCACCACATTGACCGAGTGACCTGTGTACAGAATTTGGAGGTCACGATATTTGATCTCTCTTTCAAGGTGATGTTTGTCTTGGCACGCGACAAGAACACTATGATATACATAATATTGGTTTGATGGTCAAAGACGACTATGTCAGACTGGGTTTGGATTTGCCTGATGAGTATTATTATAATGTGGCTTCTTGGTCGAGTGGTAAAGACACTTGCGTCTCTCGCGCTGGAGTCCCGGGTTCAATCCCCGATCCAGGAGATAGGATTTTCTCTAAACCAGAAAATTATTCTAGAATACCGGGCATTGGGTTTTGTCCATTGTCTCTAAATGTGTATCCTTCTCCCACACAGGGTACCTTGAGGCACCTTCAGAGATGCAGCTGTGGTGGTGTTTAAATTATATATGATATTTACGAAAAGTTTGTCGTAGTAACCTCTACCCTATTTTTTTTAACTTTTTTTAAAGAAGAAATGTAAAATACAAATCTCGTAAGGTGAAACCCGCAAACCGAAAGTCTCTGATTCAATTGATCGGAGTTCTGGAGACGTGGGTGTTGAGAATGGTCCTAACTGCTATAGATCCGGGAGGAATAAAGAAACATCCTACTATATCTTGATGTAGTGTGCGGCGAGAAAGCTGCCTCTCATGGAACCATATCTTGACGATTAAGGAGGTTTGAAGAGGGTGAAGGGGAAGTAAAAAAGGCCCATTTGTGGCCTACTTACCAGGCGCCAACCTCCCCCAACCAGCACCACTACTACTGAATATTTTCAACTTTTTATAGTGCGCCCAGTTTTAGAGTTACGCGTTGACTGGTCTTCAAAAAAACAGAACTAGGTATTGTTTATAGATAGGTTGCACTGTTGTATTTGTCAGTTTTATAAGAGTGTCAGTACTGTCGATACGCGAGTAAGAGAACTTAGTTTTTAATTATTTTATTTTCTAAAATTATGCAAGCCGCAAAAATAAATTAAAATATAGCTACTTATACACAAGTAAACTGGCAGCGATTCGCCTTAGAGAAAGAAAAAAAATACTAACTGACTTAATAAGAAATACGTTCGTATTTATGTTAACAAAGCGCTAATTGCAGCAAACGCCATTCGTGGTCCTTATACTCGTGCTTTACTTTTTTTTACCCTCTCTATTTTTCTTTTGTTTAGCGTCCAACAGAATCACGTAATACAGAAAGTTTGGGGACTCATCTTTACTGGCTTATTACATATTGAGTGTAGAACGCACATCTATAGATAGTTTACTTTTTTTAATATTTTACTTGTTTTGTTTATCACTGCAGGAACCGCCCAATGCCCCAAATACTTTTATATGGGATCTGGCGGAGGCCAGATATGAGTGGAGGCTCATATCGTCTTCAAGCTGATCTCACTTCCAAACCAGTGGTATTTCAAAAGAAAACCCCATCGTTTTACTGACAGATGCCTTTTTCAAATCATCATAATAGTATCGTTCGTTGCTTGGCACCGAATATTCGGAGCGTCTAATAATTTGAAAAAAGTAATAATTAAGGTAGGGAAGTGCCTGCTAATATGCTTTAAACTCGTATCTCCCCATTATTATAACAACTGTGCAACTGCCGTGTGTTAAATTTTAAATTGTGTATCGTCTTGTTATTTCATTAAATATTTACAAAGTTTACCAAGAGCTTTTATACACGCCTGTCATTACCAACATTTCCGTAAGTGGCCCGTAATGGCCGTCCACCATGGTAAACAAAACAATTAAAACATCCTGTACGTTATCAATTGAATACTTCTATGCATTGATTGGTCATTTTTTATGGACGTTTTATTTGATTATAATAGTTGTGTTGGGGCCGGTTTAAATAAATTGAAAAGGTTTGCCGTTCTGCCAGAGACAAACTATATTATTGTAAAAACTATAGGTATTCAAAGTAAATGAATAAATAATAATAATAATAATAATAATAATAATGTTTATTTAGAAAGGATGAAATACAACTTTTGAAGCACAGGAAAATATAAAATATACAGTATGTATTTACGAATTAAGTGTATTAATAAATATGAATAATAAACATAGGGAAATCCACAGAGAAAAATCTGTTCGTGGACTATGCTATACGATAAATCAAAGTACCTGTTAAACATGTATTACAATAGGGGAAGAGAAAGAAAAAAAGGAAAAAAAGGAAAAAAAAACAGTGATATGCATAATTAAATACCACTCGCTAAAATAATAATAAGCCAATTTCATATTTGGGACACATGTGCATATATATGCACATACATCCACATATACACACACATTCATACATACACATATACATATTTGCACATGTATGCATATTTAAACATATACACACTTACACACACACATATACACATATATACGCACACATATATACACATATATACACATATACATACATACACACATACATACACATACATACATACTTATAAACATTTTATTTATTCATTTAATCTTTTTTTTTTTACTAAATCATTTGATGAATTACAGTTCTAGGTGTTGCCAGAATCCATTCTGATAGTTTTTTTTTAAACAAGTTGTAAGAATTTAAGTTTTTTAGTTCATTTGGTATAATATTATACATCTTAGAACTTAGGTAAGTGAAGCTTCTTTGGCCAATTGTTTTTCCCATTTTTGGTACGACTATTGAGTTTAATTTATATCTTGTGTTATATGTGTGGTCGACTATCTGGTTTTTGGTTATATGTTTTTTTTATGTAATATCAAAGTTTGGCAAAACAGCTGTCTAATGTCTAGGATTTTTGATTCGAGGTACAAATCATTGCTCGGAAAGAGGTAGGGTTTATTAAATATTATTTTTAAAATCAACCTTTGAGTCACCTCTAATTGTTTTAGATGGCAGTTCATTACGCCTCCCCAAGCAATGTTGCCGTATATTAAATGGGTTTGCACCAAAGCATAATACATTGTTTTCATGTGGTTGACATCGAAATTTTTTTTCAGATATTTGAATTTTGGAATAAGGCATCGCAATTTTTGTACTATACTACTTATATGTGTATTCCATTTTAATTGGCTGTCAATAATAATTCCTAAGTATTTTATACTTTGGCAGGATTCAAGTTCGGTATTAGTGTCATTATATTTAATTTCTATGCTTTTATAGGTCGGCAGGTTGTTAATATAGCTTGTAAATGGTAAATATTTTATATTTTTTTTTATGTTGATAGTAAGTAACTTAGCAGCAAAAAAGTCTAACAGTATAGGAAAGTCCTGTTGGATTTTTTCTTTTAGACATAGCCAGCTCTTGTCTTTATAGACCAATGCCGTGTCATCGGCAAAACTTATTATTTGGCCTGTGAAATAAATAAAAACATTAAATATCACAGGTAATAACAAACCTCTGTGCATCTAAAGAAGCCTTGTATGTGAAGACACAATTAGCTCATTTAATGACAAGTTGGGGAATAAACTAGTATTTTCATTTTATCTGCCAGGTATTGAATTAAATCTAGATTCCCGATAAAGAAAAAATGCAATTTCCAATTCATATTTAAAGTTATTTACTTTAAACATGAATACGACAGTGCAGTTCTGAATTCTAAAAATATTAATTTTTTGTAGTTGGTGTTTTAGTTTACTATTACTTGGTATCATTTTTTCGAAAACATTTTTCACAATGTATTTTTTGAGGCCAGCTAGAAATGCGACAGTAACAATTAGATCTTCTCAGTTCAAGAATAAGTTGTACTTATCCACATAAAAAAAACATATGGATGTCACCGGAAAATTTCCAAGAAGTCAAGAAGCTTAAAATACTTAATTGGTGGTTTGAAAATGTTTCCTTTGGGATTTTATCAATATATTCTGACCTCACTACTAGGGAAATTGTTAATCAATTAGAAACATCTAATAACACGGTACGCAGGGTACTCCCTGGATAGTTCGGCTTTATCATATTCAGCGTGTACAGACGCTTGTCCCAGATACAGATTACATTTCACGTTCAATGTTTTCAGAATTCTGCAGCTGATCCAAACTTGCAAAATACTGTACTCTTCACAGATGAGTAGGGCTGTCAAAAATGTTCCGTGGGGCAAATTAACTAATACGAGAAACAATAAACTGTTACAATTTATAACAATGTATGTAAAACTTACCCTCTTAACTAGCTTGATGAACTAGATTGCTTATCACAAACTGGAGAAGATGTGTAGCCATTTTGCAGCATCAGGTATGTTTCTATGGTTGTCTCCATGAGTGATGTTCGCTTTGGTGAAAATGTATTCTTTATTTTGAAAACGACTGTTCGACATCTACTGATGTAATACATGCATACGTAAAATAGTCTTTGAACGCACTTAACGGATCTGGGGCTGCACCATCACATATTTGCCTTAATTTGGTAAAACCGGTGTCTTTATTTAACACACCTGCGAACGTTTCTTTAACGCGCTCATTTGTTGCGTCACCTATAGCGTGTAGCAGTAGGTTTACTTCGTCCACTATTTGCAGTGACTCCGCTAACGACAACGCACTGTCTTCTAATTTTTTTATGCTTTCCTGTAATGGTTTATAGTTCTTCGCAATATTTTTTTAAAGCTGTTTCATCGGAAATATCTTCGAATTTTGTCTGGCTTTCCTTAATAGCTGCAGCCTCATCTGGATTGAATTGTAGTGTCACAGCTTTTATTTGTTGGAAATATTCAGCATAATAAAAAGCTGCCTGCAACCATGTTCCCCAACGTGTAAGAATCGGCTGTGGTGGTTCAGGAATACCGGGACACTTACTATGAAATGCACGGAGACGTTTAGGAGATTTAAGAAACACTATTTTGTACTTGCTATTAATGCATCCACCTCTGGAAAACCTTTTCGAATAGTTTCTGCCACAAGATGTAAAGCATGCACTTTACTTGTAACATGTATAAACGCACAACCTTGTTCTTGCAAAGAACGGCCTACCGAACGCATTGTCACGGCGCCATCAATCACAAACATCAACACTTGACTTTTTGACAGTTCAAATTTTTCTAACGTCTCCAGCACCATCCTGGTAATTGTTTCGCTAGTACACTGACTTAGTCTTTTGCTAGCTAGTAACAGTGGAACTGTCGGTTTAAGAGGGTCCAGTACTCGTATTATAACATTTAAAATAGAATTTTTTTTTACAATCTGTTGTCTAATCAACAGATAACCATAGCCGTGTATTGTTTAATTCACATTTCATCTTATTTACCATGTCTACGTGTACAGTTGGTAGATAGTTACATAACGTTGTGCGACTT